CTTTCTGTGACCTAATTTTGGATATATTCTTATACTCTGTTGTAGGGAAAGAAAGCATAGACTCCCCCATATGTTGTTGGAGAATAGTTTTTAAAGACCTGGGGACTATGATTTTAAGCTATCCTAGTTATGTGATGTGTCCTTTATTAGTCATTTTGGGAAAAATATTTTTGTCACTTGTGTTGTTTAACATGTATAAGCTGTTATATTGAGAATGACTTATATGTAGGTCCATTATTGTAATAAATACCTTTAAATGTAGGCCCATTACTATAATTAATATCTGAGATGATCAACATAAAAGGAGGAAAAGTTTATTTGAATTCCTTTTGAAAGTTTTCAGTCTGTGGTTATTTGTTGTCCTCTCCTCTTCTTTGGGGTTATGATCATGTGTTATGTGATGATGAGGAGAACATGGGGTAAACTTGTTTATCTCACAGTGGTCCAAAAACAGGAAGATGCTGGTGTTTTATAATTTTCTTTGAGAGCATACTTCCAAGTGCCTGAAGCTCTTATTAGGTTCCCAAATGTTATTAAAGTTTGTACCACCTTCCAGTAAGTCCAAGTTGAAGACTAAGCCTTGAACATTTAGTTACATCGATTTTTGCAGGAGGAACAAGCATTCCTTATCCAAATTATAGAAGTAGGAAGAATTTTTAAGGCTTAATTCCAGTAATATTTAGATGCATACAGAACTGTATAGCTATCACCATAATTTAGTTTTAAGAGTATTTTCAGTCTTCTAGAATGGAAGCTCATGTCCCAGAAAGAAAGTCATAGAAACCAATTTTTTCTTTAGCAGGTCTAGGCTACCACTAACCTACTTTGTATATATTCACTTTGTTCTGGGCAGTTTATATAAATGGATTCATATAACCTCTGGGTAATCATATAACCTTATAAGTAATTTCTGTTTTATAGCGTAACTTTACAAAGGTTTATTCATATTGTGGCATGTATTATGACTTCGTTTTGGTTGATCTGATATATTCTATGAGCATTCACTATTTTGTTTACATTCCTACATTCATACACATTCGATTTGTCACTACTTTCTTCTACTTTGAATAGTGCTGTACAAGTATGTAGTCAAACATATGTTTTAATTTCTCTTGAGAAATATATACCTGAGTATCAAATTGCAGTGTCATATGGTAACTCTATATTTAATTTTTTTAGGAGTTGCCAAAATGTTTTTCCTCAGCAACTCCCATTTTACATTCCTGCTAGCAGTATTTTAGTGTTTCATCTTTCCACAGCTTTGCCAGTGCTTTTTACTGTAGTTTGTAAAACTATAATCATTTTAATAAGAATGACATGAAATTTTTATGTATTTTTCTTTGTATTAAACATCTTTTCATGTATTTATTGGTTGGTTGTTTTATTGCCTTTTTTGAACTGGTATATTTATTTCTCTCTGTGTCCTCTCTGTCTCTGTCTCTCTGTCTCTCTCTCTGTGTGTACATGTATGTAAATGCACCACATGCATACCTGGTGCCCTCTAAGGTTAGAAGAGGACATTGGATATCTTGCAGTTACAGATGGTTGTCAGTTCTATGTGGGTGTTGGGAACCAAACCCAGATCCTCTGGAAAAACAGTTTAACTTCTGAGCCATCTCTCTATCCTTCACCTTGTCTTTTAAAAAATTAATTAGTTGTGAAAGTTCTTTATATATTTTGTGTACAAATACCTTGTCAGACATGTGATTTAAAAACATTTTCTCCCTTTCTGTGGATTATCTTTCACTTTCTTGATGAAGCCTTTGAAATATAGTTTTCATTTTTGAAAAAGTCATATTCAATTTTCTTGTGTTCATACTATTAGACTAGTCTTCTTTTATGTTTTCTTTTAGGAATTTTATAGTTTTTAGTTTTTTTTTTAAAGGTATCTCATCAATTTGAGTTGAGTAGTATATTTTTGACCAAAGGCCGTATCCAGCTTCATTCCTCCAGTCGTTCCTGGGTCATCTGTTGACTTCCCTATGAAATTAAATTACCTTGGGATCCTTATTGAAATTTTTTAACTGAATATTAAGGACATTACATGGATCTATATTTCCGCTGTTGTCTTTGCAGTAGGTTTTAAATCATGAAGCATGAGTCTACCAGCTTTTTTTTAATGCATGTGTGTCTTTTTTTTTTTAATGCATGTTTCTCAGGTATGTCAACCTCAGCAATGTTGTCTATTTTCTTTGAGGCAGGGTCTCTAATTGGCTTGGAGCTCATTAGTTAGGCAGAGTATCCAGGGATCCTTCTGAGTCACTGCCTGCCCATCCCAGGAGTACAGGTGTACACCACAGACCTGACAGTGTATATGTTGGTTCTGGGATTAGATTTAGGCCTTCAAGTTTGTGAGGCAGGCCTTTTACCCACTGTGCTATCTCTCCAGGTCAGATATTTTCATTTTAAAATACTGATTTGGATATTTAGCTTCTTTTTTAGCTATGAATTCCAGGATTAGATTTAATATTTGCAAATGTGTCAGTTGGAATTCTGATAGGTAAATTTTGGAGTATTGGGCATCTGATACTATTACTGCTCCAGACATGTGAATTGTCTTACTTTTGATTCTTATTTAGTATATAATTTGCCATTTTTTTACAAATATGGTAGTATTAGGGTCCACCACTGAAAAAGCTTTCATTTTACATTTTTTCATTGATCTAGCTTTTACCTCTTTTTTTAAATCAACTTTTATTTCCATTGTAATATTGATATTTACCTTTTTGTTATTTAAATTTAAAATTTAAACTTGATTAATATATGATATTGTATATATTACTGGAATTCAAGGTAGAATTTCAACATTTGTATGTCATGGGCTCTTCAAATCTTGCTTCCCTTTATCTAACTTTCCTCACAGTCATTCTTATTAGACACTATTGATTACTTTTGTGCATTTAAGTGATGTTTAAATTTATTTTATTTATAATGTCTTATGGAACAAAGAAAGTAGGGCATTTACTTTTTTTTAGTAAATTTTCCAGATACTTAAATAGTCTGCACAAGCAACTTTATGCTGTTAACATTACACACCAAATTCCCTACCATTTCTTTGGCAGTAATAGTTCAGTTCATGGGTTGATTCCAGGTTATAAAGTCAGATGGACAATGTTATAAATACCTAACTTGCTGGAGATAGAAGGAACACAACACTGGGACTTTGCCTCAGTATGTATTAAGGGTGTTGACACTCCCTTTCCAGGCAGCACTATTTTAAATGTTTTCATTTAAGTAAAAACAATGGTCTCCAACAATACACCTTTGCCCAAGGCTGCATGCCAACAGGTCATAACATGCAAATTCCCTCTCCAGACTGCCCTGCAACACTCAAGCTGTTTTTATTCTTCTTGAGTGTTAGGCTTGCTTTCTTACACCATTGACCAGCACTAAGGCTTCCTGGTTCCATCTATTGAGTTTCAGGTGAGAAGAGAGAGTGTTCAGCATTTGTTTTTGTGGAGGAGAGTAGTTGTCTTTAACCAAACATAGCTAGTGTTCTGAAGTGACAATGAGGAAGACCCAAATTTATCACTTAAGAAAACAGACTTGGCTTGATCAGCCTCAAAGTAAAGACAGCATCTCCACCTCTCCACCATAGGAGCCATGGCACCCAGGACACACTGCAGAACACCTCTCTAAGCAGTGTTCAAAAAGTACTTACTTTTCTGTACCACCTTTTTCATCTCCACTTTCCCTTTGGCCCTCTTATTCATATCTGGGCTGAGGTAGGATTTTCTTGGCAGTGCACTCAATCTCTGATGAGTCACCCTTATGATGCTTGCACCTGGAGCTCCTACTACCAGCATATTTGTAGCATCAGTTCCCACAAACACATTATTTAAAGATTCAGGGTCAAAGGCCTGGAAAAGACCTATGAAAGATGTCTGAAATGTGTGTCTCCAGGTGTGGCATTTCACCAGAAAAATACAAGAATAATGTACTTATGCGAGGGGACTTGTCCAAAGCTGTTATCCACACCAAGCAATGGCAAAAGTTAGCTAAAACTTCATTCCATGTGTATGGCTTGAACACTCCTGAATATTTGCTTTCTTAGAAAGAAAATTTAAGGATAATATGTTTCCTAGGATATTATTAATGGCATAAAGAAACAATTACACCTTATAAAATTGAATATTATAACTTAGTTTTTGTTTCGTAAATTTTTAGATTTTTTGGTGTTGGGAGCGGTTGGAGACAGGGTTTCTCTGAGAAACCTTGGCTATCCTGGAACTCATTCTATATACCAGGCTGGCCTTGAACTCACTGAGATTCACCTGCTTCTGCTTCCCATGGGTTGGGATTAAAGACGTACGCCACCACAGCCAGCAAAGTTTTAGATTTAAAAAAAATGTGTGTTTGTGTTTGTACGTGTTTTTTCACAAAAACATGTACATGTGTCATGATAAAAACACAGAATACTGGTGTGATCCTTGTCAAAAGGAATCTTTTTATAGAGAAAATATGAGGGTGATATACTTTCTAGAATATTATTGTCTCCAAGACATAATTATGGACTGTAGAATAGAACTAAGTGCTATAACTTAGTCTTTGGTTTCTGAAATTTTTAATTGTTTAAAAGTTTGTGTATGTATGTGTCCATGTGCACGTGTGTATGCACATAAAACAAGGATGTGTGTATGTTATGACTTGCATGTGGTAGTCATTTTACAACTCATCCAGCTGGTTCTGTTTCTCTCCTTAATATTATTTGGGTCTTCAGGATTGAACTCAGGTCCAATACCCTGCTGAAATATCTGATTGCCCCAGTTTTCTTTTTAAAACTATGAATGAATAGAGGGTAGATGATTATTTTGTGTTGTCAGACAGTTACTTTATTGAATTTGATGCTATTAAAAATAAAATCAAACTTGCAACTTAAAATATGAATATGTGTTAATATGGTACTACATACTGTCAAATTTTATTATTTTCATTAGAACTAACTGCTTCTTAAACAATCAGTAAAAACTAATCTTTTTTTCTTCTTCTGCTCTAGTCGGTGGTAGATGATTGGATAGAATCATACAAGCATGACCGAGATATAGCACTTCTTGACCTTATCAACTTTTTTATTCAGTGTTCGGGCTGTAAAGGTAAAATATATTTATTTTAGAATCATAAATTCTCAAATAGCCACTTCTTTAAGAAATGTTTTTTTCTCATAGAAAATAATGTCAAGGTAATGAATTATTTGCATATCTTTGTAAAATGTATAAGGACTAAAGCATATAATAAAGCAAGGGAAGTCTGTTGACAAAGATATTCACTGTGAAATTTATCTAAAAACTTAACAATTTATGGTATTTTATTAGATTTATTACTTTTTGCATCTTTTTTAGGAATGAAGAACTGTAAAGAAAAGGGAGAAAGTACATAATGAAGAGATAGGTTCAGATGGTATGGAATAATAGAGTGTAGGGATTAAAACTCCTAAATAACAGTCTCTAGTGTAATTTCCATTTATTGTAGGTTCAACATTTTGTGATGTTTTAACTTAGTTTAAAATATTTTGAAATAAGAGTAGGGAAAGAACAAAATAAGATTTTTTTTTTTTAACGGGACAAAATTTTTTTGGAAAACCTTTTAACAAAGCAACATAATTATGTAAATTGGAACATCATACCCACAAGCCTGTTTGATCAGTAAGTCAGTAAAGATCATGGGCAGCTTCTATCGTCTCCTTTGTTTGTGATACTCTTTGAAATTATTGCAGGTACCTAAGTAGAAATATTATGTACTTTTAGGGTTATCAGATTTTTAAAAAATTACTTATTTATTATTTATTACAATTTATTCACTTTGTATCCCTGCTGCAGCCCCCTCCCTCTTCTCCCCCTATGCCCCTCCCCTAGTCCACTGATCTTCCCCTTGTATCTGACCCTAGCCTATCAGGTCTCATCAGGGCTGGCTGTATCATTTTCTTCTGTGGCCTGGCAAGACTGTAGTCCCCAGGGGGAGGTGATCCAGTAGTCTGCTCAGTTTCCATGTGGATTCTCTGGTAAGGGGATCAGGGGCTGTCTCTGACATGAACTCTAAAAAATCTAATAATCCACTAAGTTCATGTCAGAGACAGCCCCTGACTCCCTTACTACAGAACACACTTTTAAACTGAGCAGCCAATGGGCTTCCTTTGAATAGGGGGTCTAGGTCCTCTCCAGGCATGGTCCGTGTTTGGAGTATTGGTCTCTGCAGGTCCAGGTATTTTGGCTCTATTGTTCTTCTTGTGGTTATTAGATTTTTAATAAGACTATCACCAGCACTGTGAGGATTGACTCTGCAGTTGTTCATTCAGTTAGGAATCATTGGCTGTACTGAGAGTGACTCCAGGCTGCTCTGTTGTTAATTTTTTGGCCAGTCCACATTCTTTCTTTCTTTCTTTCTTTCTTTCTTTCTTTCTTTCTTTCTTTCTTTCTTTCTTTCTTTCTTTCTTTCTTTCTTTCTTTCTTTCTCTCTTTCTTTCTCTCTTTCTCTCTTTCTCTTTCTCTCTTTCTCTCTTTCTCTCTTTCTCTCTTTCTTTCTCTCTCTCTGTCTCCCTCTCTCCCTCTCTCCTTCCCTCCCTCCCACCCTCTTTCCCTCCCCTGTTTCTTTTCTGTTTTGTAGTTTTCACTTCATGTCTTGCACATCTTTAGACTGTGGGCTGTGGCCTGATATTCTGATGGCACCATCAGAACTGCCTCAGAATTCAGAGCCTGGAGTTTATGGCATCTATATTTCATGCCCTTTGATGCTTTTCTGTTTATTTTTTGCTTTCTGGCTATCATGTTCTTTTTGAGGAAGAAAGTAAGCTTATGGGGATTGGCATTCCTATTCATTAGGGAATTTACTGTCTTCTACCTTTAATTATTTATTTCTTTTCCTTCTTCCTTTCAAAGTTTAATACATCAAATTTATAATTTTATTGTTTTTAACTACTTTAAAACATTTCTTTTAGAATTCCATACCGTGTGTTGCATCCTCCAATTCTTCCCAGATCCATCCTCTCTTCCTTACCCACCTAACATATTTCTCTTTTTCCCCTTCTGTTGAAATTCACCAAAACTAAGTTGTAGTTTCAAAATATTGTTGGATGTGTGGCACTCTGTTGTTGAGTTTACTAGGGGCGGCAATTCTCTCTGTCGCAGGTAACATACTGTCTCAATCGAGGTGGGTGAGTGCGTATGTGCTCTGCTGTGTAAAGAAAACACTGTTTTCTTGTGCTAATCCACCACCTCTGTCTCCTACATTCTTTTTGCCACCTCTTTCACAATGTTAACCAAATCTCGGGAGGAGGGAGATCAGTATATATGTTCAATTCAGGGATGAGAATTCTGCAGTCTCTTGTTCTCTGTACCTTGGCTAGTAGTTCACTGTGTTGATCACCATCCCCAAATAATTAATCTGGGGCTGTAATGAGAAGTCATTCAGAATTACTTTAACTATATTCATTTAGCATAATGATAGTACTAGGTTCTCTGCCTATTACCTGCATAGCCACTAGTTCTTTATCTGATAATGTGCCAGGTATTCATCTTTTAGATCTTAAAATTGATGATTAATTTCTCAATTGGAAGCACATATAGCACTCAGTAGCACTATAAAGTAGCAAGTCTTCCAGGTCAGTACACAATGGTTTAAAAGAAAAGAAGGAAATAATGAAACAAGGGTGAAATTGGGAAGGGAAGGGGAAGGAGGATAAAGAAGGAAATACAGGAGAGGAAATAAATAGCACTAAAGGCTTTTGGAAAAAATAATAATGGAAACCTACTTTGTAGAGTCTTTTTATTTTTAATTTTTATTTCATGTGTATTGCATGTATGTCTGCGTGAGGGTGTAAGTTCTCCTGGAACTGGGAGTTACAGAAAGTGGTGAGCTGCCATGTGGTTGCTGGGAATTGAACCTGGGTCCTCTGAAATAAAGGACAGTCAGTGATCTTTTCCACAGAGCCATCTATCCAGCCCATTTAGAATCTTAGGGGAGGAAAAAAAGTGGGTAGGGTTTTTTTTTTCTTTGTTTGTTTAGTGTTGTTGGTAAGTAGTACTCCCACTCCCAGTATTACAAGGTCCAGTGCTCCTGCTTATCCTCCAGAACTTGACAGTGGTACAGTATTTTTGAAGATACCTTCATAAAGTTTTAACATCTGCTAGACTTATCCTGCACTACTGACACTAATCTATATATGATTAGAGGATGTCATTACATAGTTGTTTAGTGCGTAGTATTGGCCAGTAAAGGAGCATGGTTAAATTGAACCGGATCTGTTACTTTCCCATGTCTTCACTTTCATCCTCTTTCTCAAATGTTATCATTGTCTGTTAAAGAGGCAAAATGTATAAATTATCCTATTATAGATAGCAGATGTCATATCTGAATATTTAAAAAAATAAATAAATATTGCTTTAACCAAATAGGTACAGAGTGTTTTCTTCTTATTATTGCCTAAACGATAATACACTATAACAACCATAGCTTTAACACTGTATTAGGTAGTAGAAATAATCTAAGACAGGATGCTATCCATAAGTTATATTCCAGTATGACACAATTTTACATGATGAATATGTATATCCAAAAATTATGGTATCTTATTCTCCGTGAACATGGAAGAACACCATAGCATAAAATAGTATGAATAAAGTAACATGGGTAGTAATGGTCAAAATTGATCGTGCTTGGAAGAACCATGCCTGTTAGCAGTATGGGTTAATATTTATGCTTTTATTGTGAATGTAGACTTATTAGATGCACTACTAGAAGTTTTCTATAGCTCTTTTCAATAGTTCATATGTTAACTTATTAATTGGAAATTTCAGGGGTTGTCACAGCAGAGATGTTTAGACATATGCAGAACTCTGAGATAATTCGAAAAATGACTGAAGAATTTGATGAGGTAATATTCTAAATGTTTTAATTTTATTCATTTTAATTGTGGCTTTGTACTTATACATTTTCAAGTACTAATACTGTAGATATTATTTATGATGTTAATCAAGTATAGCCATGCAACGTCAGGTAAGTTGTCTTAGCGTCAGTCTCATGTAAATGGGAATTACAAATTTTGTTATAAGGTTGTTCAAAAATCGAAAAATACGTAGCATTTCTAATTCTATTCACGTACCAAGAATTTAATAACAATTGTTATTATAAATATAAAAAATCAGAGACCACAATTTGGAATATAACATTCTGAAATTTTGGAAAAGGAATGTTTATTCAAATAATTAAATAGGTATTTTCAATAAATAAATACATAGATTATTTTATAAAAAACACTTTAAATTCAACTGCAAGGACAAAAATAGTATATATTGGAGTTGATTATCACAGTTTATCATTGAAATATTGATGCCAATAAATCATTGGTAGGTTTACCAAAGGAAAAGATTCTTCAGGATGGAATTTGTCTTTGTTTAATTTGTAGCTGTATTCTAGCACGAGGAGTTTTACACTTCTAAAACAACTTGAATTTTCAAGTAGAAACTCTTGTCCCACTTGTTTCATTTGATCATTTTTGCTTACTTTGTCTAATGAAAAAGCTTTTAGCTGTCATTCTAAGAGACAGAGTAGTTGTTAAAATGGTTTTGATGCCAGTAAGTGCTATTAGTCAGTCCCTTAGAAGGACTGGTATTTATGAGCAATGGTATTTTTTTAATTTAATTTTATTTATATATTTGTTTATTATAATTTATTTACTTTGCATTCCCGCTGCAGCCCCCTCCTTTGTCTCCTCCCACCCACCTTCTCTTCTCTCCCCCTATGTCCTATCCCTAGTCCACTGATAGGGGAGGACCTTCTCCCCATCTATGTGACCCTAACATACCAGATCTCATCAAAGCTGGCTGCATCATCTTCTTCTCTGTCCTGGCAAGGATGCACACTCCAGAGGGAGGTCATCAAAGAATCGGCCACCGAGTTCATGTCACAGACAACCCCTGTACCCCTTACTAGGGTACCCACTTAGAAACTGAGCAGCCAATGGGCTTTCTTTGAAAAGAGGTCTAGGTCCTCTCCATGTATGGTTCCTAGTTAGAGTATTGTCTCAGCAAGGCCCCCAGGGCTCCGGTATTTTGGCTCTGTTTTTCTCCTTGTAGAGTTCCTGTCCCCTTCAGAGCTTTCTATCTCCCTCTTCTTCCTTAAGGATTCCAGCACTCTGCCCAAAGCTTGGCTATGAGTCTCAGTATCTCTTTTGATACCCTGGCAGGTAGGGTCTTTCAGAGGTCCTCTGTGGAAGGCTCCTGTCCTGTTCCTTGTCTTCTCCTACTTCTGATGTCCATCCTCTTTGCCTCTCTGAGTGAGTTTTAAGCATCTTCCCTAGGGTCCCCCTTGTTGTTTAGCTCCTTTAGGACTATAGATTTTATAGTGTTTATCCTATATTTTATTTCTAATATCCACTTATAAGTGAGTAATTTTCATTTGTATCTTTCTGCTTCTGGGTTACCTCACTCAGGATCTTTTCTAGTTCTCACCGTTTGCCTGCAAATTTCATGATTTCCTTGTTTTTAATTGCTGAGTAGTATTGCATTGTTTAAATGTACTACATTTTCTGTATCTATTCCTCTGTTGATGGACATCTAGGTTGTTTCCAGATTCTGGCTATTATGAATAGAGCTACTACAAACATGGTTGAACAAATGTCTTTATTGAATAGTGGGGCATATTTGGGGTATATGCCTAGGAGTGGTATAGCTGGATCTGGAGGTACCACTGTTCCTAATTTTCTGAAAAAGCACCAGATTGATTTCCAAAGTGGTTGTACAAGTTTACACTCACACCAGCATTGGAAGAGGGTTGCCCTTTCTCCACATCCTCTCCAGCATGCATCATCCTTTGTATTTTTGATCTTATCCATTCTGATGGGTGTAAGGTGAAATCTTAGAGTTGTTTTGATTTGCATTTTCCTGATGATAAGGTTGTTGATTATTTCTTTAAGTGTTTTCCTGCCATTCTATATTCCTTTGTTGAGAATTCACCGTTTAGTTATGTACTCCATTTTTAAAAATTGGATTACTTAGTTTGATGGTGTTTAACTTCTTGAGTTCTTTATATATTCTGGATATTAGCCCTCTGTCAGATATAAGGTTGGTGAAGATCTTTTCCCAGGCTGTAGGCTGTCATTTTGTTCTGATAACAGTGTCCTTTGCTTTATAGAAGCTTTTCAGTTTCATGAGGTCCCATTTGTTGATTTTTGGTCTTAGAGCCCGTGCTGTTGATGTTCTGTTCAGGAAGTTGTCTCCTGTGCCAATGAGGTTAATGCTCTTCCTACTTTTTCTTGTAACCGATTTAGTGTGTCTGGTTTTATGTTGAGGTCTTTGATCCACTTGGACTTTAACTTTGTGGAGGGTGATAAATGAGTCTTTTTTCATTTATCTATATGTAGATATGCAGTTAGACCAGCACCATTTGTTGAAGTTGCTGTCTTTTTTCCATTGTATGGTTTTGGCTTCTTTGTCAAAAATTGTTTCCATAGATGTGAGGGTTTATTTCTGTGTCTTCATTTTGATTCCATTGATCCACCAGTTTGTTTCTGTGCCAGTACCATGCTGTTTTTATTACTGTTGCTCTATTGTACAGCTTGAGATGAGGGATGGAGATAGCTCCAGAAGATCTTTTATTGTACAGGATTGTTTTAGCTATTCTTAGGTTTTTCTATTTCCATATAAAACTGAGAATTGTTCTTTCAAGTTCTGTAAAGAATTGTGTTGGAATTTTGGTGGGAATTGCATTGAATCTGTAGATTGCTTTTAGTAGTCATTTTCAGTGTGTTAATCCTACTTATTCATGAGCATGGGATGTCTTTTTATATGTTCTTTAATTTCTTTCTGTTTCTTTCTTCAGAGACTTGAAGTTTTTTTTTTTTTTTCTCATATTGGTCTTTCACTTGCTTCTTTAGAGTTAGACCAAGGTGCTCCTACTTGTTGCTATTGTGAAGTACATTGTTTCTCTCATTTTTTTTCTCAGCTAGTTTGTCCTTTGTATTTAGGAGGGCTTCAGATTTTTAGCAATGGTAATTTTTTAAGCTTTCAATATTAAGTGTTTAGTGAGAACCTCCTTAGTAAAAGAAATCAAGAGTTTGAGTTAATTATCTTGAAATATCAGCAAACCAAATTGCTCACAAGTATATTTCAATATATTCAATTAAATGAATTCATCAGTAACTCAGTGTCGAGTGTGCATTTATCATGATTTAGACCCTGAGTTTAATTCCCCTTTCTTTAAAAGGTAAATGAAGGGAATCTCTTAATGGCATATACCAGGGCCTTATTTTCAAGCACGAAATTTGTATATGACAACAGTTAGAAAATTAATTATGAAATTAAGTGTTAAAAACTGTAGTGATCAAATTGATTTTAAATTTTTTTGTGTCTTTTAACAGAGACTCCTTTACAGATTTTATATATTATTGGTCTCTTTTATTTTAAACACATACACACACACACATACACATAATCAAATGTGCATTCATGTATGCATGCATGCATGCTGTGGATTGAACCCAGGGTTTTGTTCTTGGTATGTGCTCTGCTACTAATCTAAACCCTTAGCCTAGGACTTACTTTAATGATATATGGAGAATACCAGTTTAAATTCAGAACGACAAATGCTACCATTTATGTACAAAGGAAAATGGAGTGCTGGCATTTGAAGACTGTATTAGCTGCATTTCCTTTTATTTATTTAATTTTGTTTTATTGTTTGGTCCTTGGGATCAAATTTAAGAGCTCTATCAGTCCCAACAAGTGTTCTACTACTAAGCTTTATTCTCAGTTTTGCATTTGGTAAAATATGTGGTTTTTTGTGCCTATTAACTCTTTGGTGTCTTGAACATAATACAAAATTTTAACTTTTTTTATTTTATTTAACTGGCTGAGAATACAGTTTTGTTATTTCAAATATGAAGATATAATTTTGGTTTGTTTTTGTTCTAAAGAAATTGGGTAGGTATATTTGTACTTTTCAGAAGAATGTTCTAATTTGAATACTTAATATTTTAACCTCAGTAATGGGTATGTAATCTCATTCATTAAAGTCAAGTTTATTAAAATCTCCTTTGATTTTAAGTAAAAGGACAGTGTTCAAAGAGATATGCATCTGTCTTTGCATACCTTTTTGCCTTTTTTTTGAGAATTTATTGTAGAAAATGAAGGTATAATAAAGTAGTATTTTTATGTAGGATGTGTTAAAAGCAAATGAAATGAATCATGAACTTGGAATGAATTGCTGTTTCAACCCTTTAATTTTAGGACAGTGGGGATTACCCACTAACTATGGCTGGTCCTCAATGGAAGAAGTTCAAGTCCAGTTTTTGTGAGTTCATTGGTGTATTAGTACGGCAATGTCAATATAGTATCATATATGATGAATACATGATGGATACTGTCATTTCACTTCTTACTGGATTGTCTGATTCACAAGTCAGAGCATTTCGACATACAAGCACCCTGGCAGGTTGGTATATTTAAAATCTTTTCTCGACACTTTTTTCTTTTTAAATTTTTTTTATTAATTACAGTTTATTCACTTTGTATTCTAGCTGTAGTCCCCTTCCTTATTCCCTCCCAATCCCACTTTACCTCCTCATCTCCCCCCCTCCCCCAAGTTCACTGATAGGGGAAGTCCTCCTCCCCCTCCCTCTGACCCTAGACTATTGGTCTCATCAGGACTGGCTGCAGTGTCTTCCTCTGTGGCCTGGTAAGGCTACTATCCTGTGAGGTGAAAGTGCTCAACAAGTCAGCCACTGAGTTCATGTCAGAGATAGTCCCTGTTCCCATTACTAGGAAACCACTTGGAGACTGAGCTGCAATGGGCTACATCTGTGCAGGGGTTCTAGGTTACCTCCATGCATGGTCCTTGTTTAGAATATCAGTCTCAGAAAAGTCCCCTATGCCCAGATATTTTGGTTCTGTTGCTCTCCTTGTGGAGCTTCTGTCCCCTCCAGGTCTTTCTATCTCCCCCTTCTTTCCTAAGATTTCCTGCACTTCACCCAATGTTTGGCTATGAGCCTCAGCATCTGCTTTGATACCCTGCTAGGTAGAGTCTTTCAGTGGTGCTTGGTGGTAGGTTCCTGTCCTGTTCCCTGTTTTCCCCTCTTCCGATATCTGTGCTATCAACTTACCCAGGATCCTCCTTCTTGCCTGGCTTCTTTCGGTATATAAATTTTAGTATGTTTGTCCTATATTATTTGTCTAATATCCACTTATAAGTGAGTGTATACTGTGTGTGTCTTTCTGTTTCTTGAATACCTCCCTCAGGATTATCTCTTCTAGTTCCCACCATTTGCCTGCAAATTTCATGATTTCCTTGTTTTCAATTCCTGAATAGTATTCCATTGTGTAAATGTACCACAATTTCTGTATCCATTCCTCAATTGAGGGACATTTTGTTTTTTTATGAATTCTGGCTATTATGAATAAGGCTCTTACAAACATGATTGAGCAAATGTCCTTGCTGTGTACTTTATTTATTTAGGATATATACCTAGGAGTGGTATAGCTAGATCTTGAGGAAGCACTATTCCTAATTGTCTGAGAAAGCGTCAGATTGATTTCCAAAATGGTTGCATTAGTTTATATTCCCACCTGCAATGGACAAGGGTTCCCCTTGCTCCACACTATCTCCAGCGTGTATGGTCAATTGAGTTTTTGATCTTAGCCATTGTGATGGGATTAAGGTGAATTCTCTGAGTCGTTTTGATTTGCATTTCCTTGATGACTAAGGACATTGAGCATTTCTTTGTTTTTCTGGCATTCAATATTCCTCTATAGAGAATTCTCTGTTGAGCTCTGTACCCCATTTTTTAATTGGATTACTTGATTTGTTGCTGTTTAACTTCTTTAGTTTTTCATATATTTGGATACTAGTCCTGTGTCAGATATAGGGTTGGTGAAGATCCTTTCCCAGTCTGTAGGTTGTTGTCTTAGGGTAGAGACAAGAAAGATTATCATCAAGGGAGGAATATATGTTTAAGACAATATCTCACTGGGTATTTCCGACTGGCTTAGAATTCACTATGCAGACCATGCTGGCTTCATACTCACAGTCGTTTTTCCTGCCCCTGCACCCTGAGTGCTACTTTTGTTTTTTTAACCACTTAGCTAATATTCACTTTCTCATGCTTATTGTTAACTGTAGAGACCCGATTGTTTTTTTTTTTTTTTCTTTTGATGCTTTTCTCATGCTTTTACATAGCTTATAGGGAAAAAAAGCTCAGTAGAACAAAGGTGTACTTTTGCTTTGTTATATCACTTAATGTACTGTATGTCAGGTTGTCTGAAATATGGTAAAGAAATGACAGAATTATTAGATCTTTGGATTAATGATTAATACATTCACAATTCTAGGCAAAAGTAGTCTTGTTTCAAATTTAGTAGCAAAATCTTATGAATGATATTTCCTGAACAAACTTTTGTTAATTACCATTTCATTTTGTATGATGCATGCATATGTCTCTTTACAATCTTATCATTATCGTTATGATGAGATATAACAAGAAATCTAAAAGTTGGTGCATAATGAAATTCTTTTAGTCCAAAATAATTTGATGTGAGGTGCTAAAATTGGGTATGGTGACTTGCGTCTCTAAGCTTGTACCTGGAAGGCTAATGCAGGAAGGTTGCCATGAGTTAGAGACCAGTCTGGGCTACTTAGTCAATCTCAGGCTAGCCTGAGCAAAAGTACAATACCCTGTCTCAAAATTATTTTAAAAGTAGTATTTGATTCTTATTACTTTTGATAGAGCAATAATAAAATGGATTTAATATAACCTGTAATTTATTTAGAAGATCAATCATATTCCCAAAAAATCATTGTAGAAAACATTTTATATACTTGCATGTTTTTCCTGCATGTTTGTCAGTATACCATGTATGTGCCTATTGCTTGGGGAGGGCAGAGAGAGGGCTTTGGATTCCCTAAAATTTAAGTCACAGATGGCTATAAGATGCCATATAGGTGCTGAGAATTGAACTTGGGTCCTGAAAGAGCAGCCAGTGCTTTTAACTGCTAAGCCATCTCTCTCTCCAGCTTAAGGACCCACTTTTGTGTGAGTATGTATGTGTTTGTTTTAATGTTTTTGTGTTTGAATTTCCATAGCTCTTACTGTGGTGGGCTTTTGTGAGGATTAGGAGGTAACCCAATCCATGATAATTATTTAGGTAGACAGACATTATTTCTGACACATAATATTCTATATATTTATGTGCTGTTATCATTTCTAGCATTTGTATGCTTTATTTCTGTCAAAGAGATGATTGGCTGTTTCTTAACACAATTTTGCTTCTGTTATACTAATTTCAACATTTTTCTCCTTCAAAACCTAGCTATGAAGTTGATGACAGCTTTGGTAAATGTTGCCCTAAATCTTAGCATTAATATGGATAACACACAAAGACAGTATGAAGCAGAACGAAATAAAATGATTGGAAAACGAGCGAACGAAAGGCTAGAACTCCTCTTACAAAAGCGGAAAGAGGTAAACTTCAGTATTAAATATTTAGGTAATTAACGTGTAACCAACTTGGGTACCATTAAGCATGATGTTCTAGGCTTAAATAATTTTAAAGTTATTATTTGTTTTGCTTGTGCTTTATCACCGAGCTATAGTACACCAGTTCCAAGGAAGATTTAAATATTGTTTATGCACCTGTCTTAAAGTTTTATTAAATATCAATGTCATGGTACATTTTCTATGTAGGCTAGTATTGAATATTTTGCTTAAATAAGATGACTTGGATCAGTCTGGAAAATTACTTAAGCCTTAGCATTATTTATGTTACTGATAGTCTCTGTTCTGTCTTTCTCGGCTTATGATAAAATGAAATGAAATTTCATAGTTAATATGAATTCCCCTTTTTAAATGACTTTTTTTTCCCTTTCAGACAGGTTTTTTTTTTTTTCCTTTCAGACAGGTTTCTTTGTGTAATAGCTTTTAGTGTCCTGAAATACACTCTGTAGATCAAGCTGTCCTTGAACTCACAGAGATCCTCGTGCCTCTGCCTCCTGAGTGTTGGAATTAAAGGTGTATGCCACTGTTGCGTGGCTCAACTTAAATCTTTTTTTCTTGGAACTTTAAATCATTTATTTCTATATAGTAAGTAATAGTTGGTTTTCTGCTCACCAAATTCAGCTTCACATGAGGAAGTTCAGTTTTAGCTTAAACTGTAAAGAATAACAAATAAAATCTTTTGTGCTGCATTTATAACTTAAGTTTTTCCTTCATTTCTATCATCATTGATATGATTTTATATCTTATAATGGGATTTAAAAATTTGAATAATCAAAAAATTGTAATGTAGAATTAAAATCTTTGTTATGATAACTTAAAAAATTAGTTACTTGACCCTAAGTAGGTTTTTGTTGTTGTTGTTGTTTTGTTTTTTTATGGAGGAAATAGGAGCTAAAATTTTAAATTGATTATTTCTGAATTAGTCAAATAATTTAACTCAAAGTTAAGAAAAGTAAATGCAAGTTGACAGTGGTGATGGCGCATGACTTCAGTACTAGCACTCAAGAGACAGAAGCAGGTGGATCTCTGAGTTCAATGGTAGCCTTGTCTACAGAGTGATTTCTAGAACTACACAGAGAAATGCTTTTGGGGGGGCTTTGGAGACATACTTCTTTAAATTTTTATTATTGGTACACACACACACACACACACAGATATATGAGTTAGGACAGTAGAAATAATGGTGAGGTTAATAGAATACATATACATATGATTAAAGGGCATTACTGCATGAAAATGTGTTTAAATGTGAGGGCCAATGGTAGGGTTAGAGTGAGGAGAAAAAAACAATAGAAATCATGGATGAAAATGCCATAATGATGGCTAGAGAGAATGCTCAGTGGTTAGGAGCACTGGCTGTTCTTCCAGACATCCTGAGTTCAATTCCCAGCAACCACATGGTGATTCACATGGTGATCTATAATGCGATGTGACATCCTCTTCTGTCATGCAAACATGCATGCAAATAGAGCACTCATATATATTAGTTATGTGAAAAAATAAATTTTTAAAAAAATGCAAATGCCATAATGAAACCTGCTACTTAGTATGTAATTTTACAGTTAAAATTCAAAAATTAACATATTAACAACAAAAAAATTTTGTTTTCCCAAGTCTATATTCCTCATTTTTTCATGTAATTTGAAATGAAATGCATCTTTACCTTAATTTACTTAATACAGTTTATTGGTGGGTTCATTCTAAATGTGAAATATATTTTGCACCTTGAAATTATGCCGGTATTCTTGGATAAATTGTTAGCATAGAATGAGTAGAAAGATTCCCAAGTACTTGGAATTAAAGTTTTAGAACAACTCAGTGATGATGCTTTGCATTGAGTCACAAATTAAACCCTTTCTAGATTTTGTTTTGTTTGTTTTTCCTTTCTACTCTTTGCTTCCTTCCTTCTTACATCTCCTTCCTTTTTCTTCCCTCCATTTTTTCCTTACATGCTGTTTTCCTTTCCTTTCTTTGCTTATTTTGTCATGTAAGAACTGGTATGATAGGCAAAATATTGTTACTGATGTACATCCTTAGTCTAAGGCTAAGGTCTTAAATAATTTGCAAATTAACTACAGTTTGGCTCTGTTAATGAACATAAATGAGTGAATATAAATACATGCCCATCTCAGCATCATTAGGAGATAGAAGATATTACCCATATATAGTAGATTGCTTTTTAAAAAATATTATATCGTGACATAATGTAAAATTTAATTTATTGTTATGTTGAAAAGCATTATTCCTTTTACTCTCAAACTACAAAAAGGAAAATGTATGTGAGTAGGTATGTTCATAAGGAATAAATTAAGATTTGTAATGTTACTTTATTATTTCAGGTCAGTTTTTCTTTTCTGAAAACAATATAATTCTTTTTACTTACTTATTTTTCCCTATTTTTTCTATGTTTTAAGCAGATAGTAGTCTGTATTACTCTTCTTTTTTATAAGATTAAGAATATAAAATTCTTGCATGTATTTGATGTTAATACTCATTATAAGTAGAAATACTTAAGCATTTATTATACAGTAGAAATTCATAAGCATTAAAAAATAATCTACCTGTCAAATTTAAATGTTACGTCATATTTTTAAGGAAACAAAGGATATTATTTACTTGATAACCAATATTTTTCTCTGTGGTTATTTTTGTCTAGTAGAATAAAAAAATTTAGTTAGCAAATACTGGTAAAATCTATATTTATTGTTACTTATAACAACCTTTAAGGATTCTTTTGGTTATTCCCCTTTGTAATTCAAAACAATTTTCTTTATAGCTTCAGGAAAATCAAGATGAAATAGAAAATATGATGAATGCAATATTTAAAGGAGTATTTGTACATAGATACCGGTAAGTTAAGACAGTTTTTATTTTATTTTTTTAATGGTTGAGACAGATTCTATAAAGTAATAGGCAGACTGTTAGTTGGAGACTGAGATCTACCACTAAGTCTGGGCAATGCATTTTACTGCTCTGACATTGAATAACTCTGAATAACTCTGCTTGACTTGTATTTCAGACAGCTGGAAAGTACTATGTTATTCACTTAGGATTCAGAATACTTAATTGCTGTTGGATATCTTGTGTTTCTTATTCTTGACTCTTCTACCTAATTTCACTGGGAAAATTTGGATAGATTAAAGAAAGATGCTTCTTTTTGTTATTTTGAATTAGTAGATGAAAAAGGTAATCTCAATACAGTTTGTAATACATTTGCAAACATTGGTATCACTTTTATTCAACTTCCTTTTCCTCTAGTTGGTACTTACCGAATCCGTTTAATGCTTGTTTTATACTATTCCCATATTAACTCTTTTATTTGTTTCTTATGCCACTATTCTCTTAGTTTATTCCCTTATCATAATCATGTTTATTGATTATTCCAGTTTCCTAAAACATTCTTTTCCTTGTGTTATTCCTCTGCTTTCAATAACTTACCATTATACAAAAGTTGAATTTAAAATGATTTAGTGGAACATAAGTAGGGTGACACATATATTTATAGTTAAAAGAGTAAGAAGCAATAGGATTACTTGAGCCTGGAATTGGAGACCATCATTTAAAGACTCTGTCTTAAAAGAAGAAGAAAAAGAAGAAAAAAACAAACAAAAAATATTTTAGCCTTGGCCTAAGTTTTGTGGGTATAAAGTATTTATACTTGGAAGAACATGATCTTGTTAGCCCAGTTTGCCTGCTATTTTATGAACAGCCCAGTAATTATTAACAAGAATTGAGATACGCTCTATAAGCAGCGGTTCTCAACCCATGGTTTACAACCCCTTTGGGGATTTAATGACGATTTCACCGGGGTCCCCTAAGACCATGAGAAAACAAAGATACTTATATCTTAATTTATAACAGTATCAAAAACAATTATGAAGTACCAGTGAAAATTTAATTTTATGTTTGGAGATTCCCACAACATGAGGAACTGTATTAAAAGGTTGCAGCATTAGAAAGGATGAGAACACTGGTCTAGAATAAAAGGTGAAAGGACTTTATTTGTGAGTCAGGTTTTTTAACCAATTAAAGGATGAAACAATTTTGTAGAAATATTTATTTTTATTGTTTTTTGTCAATTAGATTGCAAGCATTTGACTGTTTTGGAGCATGCTTCATTTGAGTTCCTTTTAATCTTCAAAAGATTTAATATTGGTGTAATAGTAATAGTAGTTTACAAATACATGGCATTTCTTGAATAGATCATATGCCCAGTAGTACAGTAGCATTGATTATATAACTTTTCCTTCCTCCATTTAGGGATGCAATAGCTGAAATCAGAGCTATATGCATTGAAGAGATTGGTATTTGGATGAAGATGTACAGTGATGCCTTCCTTAATGACAGCTATTTAAAATACGTTGGTTGGACTATGCATGATAAGGTAAGATATGCCCAATGGGGCACTCCATCTATACATAGGTATGATTGTCTGCAAATCTCATTTATAAATTAGTTGTCTGAACCAGGTACATGCCTTAAATCTCAGTAGGCAAGGTCAGAAGACTCTTGCTGAGTTTGAGGCCAGCTTGGACTATAAAGTGAGCTCTCCAGTATTGCAAAGACTGTATAGATAAATCTTGTCTCCCCTCACAAAATAAATATATCTGGATGTATGCGTACTTCAGCCACATTCCTTGAAGGCCCTCATTTTATTTCTATCTGTTCTGTCAAAACTTGGTCACTAGCACAAATACCCCTGGATTGTTTAGCCCTGGACACTGCTTTAATGTTTGGTATCGACTTGAATTTTTTGTGCTAAAATATTAGGATCAGATAGGTGGTGATGGTGAGACATTTTATAGAGCACTAAGAAGAATTCTTTGTTAAATGAGTCTTACATATTTACAGCTTTCCTTTCGTTTCTTGTTTTGCAGTACTGAGGGTCAAATACAGGGTTTTGTGCAAGCTAAAGCAATTATTCTGCCACAGCCCTACAGTTCATGTTTTCTTTAATTTTTACCCTGTCTTAATAAACATGTATTTTAGTCAAATTATGTCTTATAATTTGGCTTCTGACCTTTAATACACTTTTCCATAAACTATCATCCTTAAGCTACCTCGTTGGACTTGGAGTCATTCCTTGTATGTAATTCTTCTAAACATTTTTTTAAATGAAGTATGCTATAGCCTTTTGCAGTAGTCCACCTTTCACAGTAGTTCTCGGAATTTTGTTTGTTTTTGTTTTTTATTTTTTAAGGCAGGGTTTCTCTGGGTAGCTCTGGCTGTGCTTGTACTCTCTTTGTAGACCAGGCTGGCCTCGAACTCAGAGAGATGTGCCTGCCTCTGCTTTGTTGAGTGCTGAGATTACAGACATGTGCCACTGTGCCCAGCTTTACATAAATTTTTGAGAAATTATTATCAATTTATTTATAGAAAAAATAATCTTATAACTGCTCAATCTTAAAAATTTGTGTTTAAATATTTTCATTATTAAATATTACAGTTTCTGAGTAATGCTGTTTAAATTCTAAAGTAGAAAATATATACTTCAAATTTGAGCTAGGAAGTAAATGATTTGAATATATTTTCTCCTTATTTTTTCTAGCAAGGTGAAGTGAGGCTCAAATGTCTTACTGCTTTACAAGGGCTTTATTATAACAAAGAGCTTAATTCCAAACTGGAACTATTTACCAGTCGATTCAAGGTTAGTATTCATTAAAGTATTTAAAATTATTTGTAGCTTGAAATACTTTTCTTATTTTCCTTTAAAAATACTTTTTTTTTTGATACTTAGGATAGAATTGTTTCTATGACCCTTGACAAGGAATATGATGTTGCAGTACAAGCAATAAAGTTACTCACTCTTGTTTTACAGTAAGTATATGCTTATTGTATGTTACTAATGTTCTTAGATAATACATTAATGTGTACTTGGTTCACATAGCCTAAATTTTAATAGTTTCAGTCATAAACTTTTAGGATAGAAATTTTATTTATTTATTCATCCATCTATGCATACATTCAAACCTCAACTCATCCATTCACCCACCCACCCACCCACCCACCCATCCACCCATCCATCCATCCATCCATCCATCCATCCATCCATCCATCCATCCA